AAATCTATCTTCTATGACAGTTTTTCCACTATCAAATGTTGATGGAGGAACTCTTTTTGACGATCCATCTAAGGAAATACAATGAGATATAGCAAGTAAAGTTTGGGTTTCAATCTCCATCAAAGCCAGTAGCCTGTTCCACAAGAAATAATAAAGGATTCTGCAATGATCTCAGGGAGGTATATAAAACTGTAAGTTCTAATTATGGTAGATAAATTAGGATCCTTCTAGCAGTTCATGCACATTTTTCATGGAAATTAACTTTTAACAGAGACAGACTATTTATTGGGAACTTCGTGTAACATGGATATAGTTACATTTAAGATTACTTTACACAGGATTTCTGCCTCCCCACTCTACAATATTCTTTTATTTAAGTTTGGTTTACTTCCTTATCTCTAGTGACACCCTGTGGATACAGAGGACATCTCAGTTACATGGATGAGATTAAAAAGTGATCCTTTATACTAGTTATGAGGTTGGCTCATACGAATGTCAGTACAGGTAGTCCTCGACCCCCAACTATTCATTTGGTGACTGAAATTATAAAAGCTCTGAAAAAAGTGACTTATAATGGGGAAGCTAGATTCACTCAACATTGCTAATTTAATGACTGCAGTGATTCACTTAACTATGGAATGAAAAGCTGTAAAATGGAGCAAAATTCACTAACAACTGTCTCACTTAGCAACAGAAATTTGGCACTCAATTATGGTTGTAAGTTGAGCACCACCCGTACATAAAGAGCTCTACCTTTCTGTGTGAAGCAAAAAAGGAGACAACACTCTCCCCAGCGGTGGGTTTCAAAGTGGTTTGCCCCCAGTTTGGTGGGCATGGCTTGGTGGGCACGCTTTGTGCGCGTGTACACTTTGCGCGCATGCACACTGTGTGCACATCTGCGCACCAAATGTGCACTTTGCGCACAAGCAGAGACTTTCCTACACACCTGCAATCCTATACTCTCCCTGTAGCTTCAAAAGCTGATGCACGGCAATCTGCTGTGCTGCGCAAAGAAGCTGAGCTTCAAAAGCAAGAAATGAAAGTCAGAATGGAAACCCACGTGGGTGGGCCCAACTGCAGAGTATCAGAGAGACTCGGAGCGAACCAGTTCTCTGCCAGCTGATCTTCAACACTACTGGTATGCCAGAACCGGGCTGAACCGGTAGCATACCACCACTGACCCTCCCCCAACCTTTGTAATTTCTTGTACTATGAATTCTATTTATTAGAATACAAAATCAGGCATTGGAGCCAGGAAGGCTGTGATATTAATTAATTAATTAATTAATTAATTACATTTATATTGCCTCCTGTTCGCTCATGGCAACTCAAGGCAGCGTACAGAATATAAAAACCAAATTTAAACCATAAAACTAATTAAAAATCAAATAAATTATAATAATAATTTATTATTATTACCCCTCACCCCCTACCCTGCTGACAGCAGATCACACGATCACACAGGCCCGCTGACAGAACTAGATCTTCAGTGCCTTCTGGAAGAGTATTAGAGTGGGAGCCATTCTAATATCCGGGGGAATGGTGTTCCAGAGAGAGGGAGCCACCACGGAGAAAGTATATCTCCCTCGGGGATGGGACCCGCAGCATTCCCTGCCTCCCTGCTCTGATGGATCAGGTAGATGTGACTGACAAAAGACGGTCTCTCAAATAACCTGGTCCCAAGCCATGAAGGGTTTTAAGGGTGACAACCAGCACCTTGAATTGCACCTGGAAGCAAATCAACAGTCAGTGCAGCTCCTGCAGGAGAACTGATACATGTACACAATCGGATCTGCACAAAACCATGCGGGCCGCTGCATTTTGCACCAACTGAAGCTTCTGGATGCTCTTCATGGGCAGCCCGATGTAGAGCACATTGTAATAGTCAAGACAGGAAGTGACTAGGGCATGAGTGACTGTGACTGGGATTGTTGGTTCAGAAAAGGGCATAACTGGCGCACAATCCGCAGTTGTGCAAAGGCTCTCCTGGCCACAACTGCCGCTTGCTCTTCGAGCAGGAGTCCTGAGTCCAGGAGAACCCCCAGATTATTCACAGGGTCTGTTTGGGGTAGTGCCTTCCCATCCAAGACCAAAGGTGGCAATTCTCCCTGAGCCAACGAACCCCAAACCCAGAGCTATTCGGTCTTGCCAGGGTTTACTTTCAACCCATTGCTCCCCATCCAGCCCCTAACAGCCTCCAGGCACTGCGAGAGGGAGGACAGGGCAACACTTCACACACCACGGGCCGAGGGATACAGCTGAGTATCATCAGCATAGTGGTGATACCTCAGTCCATGGTGATGGATGATCTCACTCAGCGGCTTCATACTGTATAAATGTTAAACAGGAGCTGAGAGAGTAATGAGCCCTGCAAATTCCACAAAGCAGTGGGCGAGGGCTGGATCTCTCCCCTCCTATCAACACTGAGAGCAGCCGCAGAGGAAGTGAACCAGGATAGCACAAGGCCTTCCATTCCCCAAAGCCACTCCAGAATACCATGGTTGAGAGGTCAAGTAGAGCAAGGGTAGATGCACTAACCCCATCCCGCTCCCGCCAGAGATAATCCAAAAGTGCTATCAATGCCATTTCTGCCCCAAATCCAGGCCTGAATCCTGACTGGTAGGGGTTGATATAACCTGTTTCATCCAGAAACCACTGGAGCTGCTGCGCAATCACCTTCTCAACATCCTCCCCCAAAAAGGGAAGATTGGAGACAGGTCAGAAATTATCCAACCGGGTGGTGTCCAGCATTGGCTTTTTAAGAAGAGGGCGGATCACAGCCTCCTTAAAGTGCTGGGGCACTGCCCCTTCCTGTAGGGAAACATTAATCATCACCAGAGTCCACCCGCCTGTCACTTCCTGGGAAGCTTTCACAAGCCAGGAGGGACATGGGTCCAAAACACAGGTGCTTGCGTGCATACTCCCTAGGATGCTGTCTACTTCCGCAGGAGCAACAGGGTCAAACTGTTCCCAGATAACAGGGCAAGAACCTGCCTCAGGGGCTTTCACCGGACCTGCAGCCACACTGACATCTGAGAACAGAGTCAAGCAATTTTATCTTCCAGAATATATGCAAATTCCTCAGCATGCCCCTTCAGGAGGACCTCAATCTTATCCTTCCCAAAGAGGTGGAGGCTCACCTTAAAAAGGGTCGCTGGGCGATTAACTGCAGATGCAATTAGTGTGGAGAAGTATTTACACTTGCTGCACGAATCGCCACGAGGTAGGCCTTAATAGCAGCTCTTATCCTTGTTCGATCAAGTTCATCCCTTGTCTTCGGCCAGCGGCACTCTAGGTGTCTCATGCGTTTCATCCTCTCAGTTCCTCTGTAAGCCACAGGGCACAGAGAGTTCTGTGACATAAATTTGGATTCCTATTAATTTCTGTTGTTTATAATCTTACTGGTTGGTTGTTTCTTTATCTTGATGTTTAATGTACACAATCCAGAATCATAGATGTTCAGGTTGGGAGATCATATTAATTTATTGATCAGTCAAGCACACTAAGCCTTGTATCATTGTTTGCATGTAATAAAATAACTTTCCATGGCAACTTACCAGAGACATAATTGTACATTAAGAAGGTCCTATTGCCTGATATGTGTACCGGTTGATATCTGCAAGATCCTAAGTTTCTACTGTTAAAAACAGAGATGGTCACTCAGTTGATTAAAACAATGTATATTATTTATTAAATTGTCATATGAAAATTCAAATAGTCACAGATGTATTTAATAAATTAAACATTCCTTGAAATGGTGATCAAGTTTCTGATATCACTTTTGTATAAGATGAAGAATTCTTTTTGAAGATTAATGTCTGCATGCTTACTCTACACTAGAAAACCATAAACTGAGAATATGCAACCTTTCCAGCAAGTTTATATCAGAGGCTTACTACTAACCTACTGTTCAGCAAGCCCTTTAAGAATGGATACTTAAGATTCTAGATCTCTGTTGCTTAAGACCTTCCTTTCTGTCAAGCATACAGCAGCTACTATAGTACTCTTGATCTCGTACTTGTCCCACCCATTTGCCTTTTTGTAATTGATAAGAATCAATTGTTTTATACTATGGCATTCATAACCACAACAAGGACCACCAGAATAAACTCATAATAAACTTTTTACCTCAATAAACTTTTTACCTTGTCCTGGTAAAAATGTGCATCCTTTAAAAATATTTTTTTAATCTATGTTGTTCTTCTGAGTTCCTGGGGTGCTCACAGAGTTTTAGCCTATCACTCTGAAAAATTCTAGTGAATACCGTATTTATCGGCGTATAACACGCACTTTTTCCCCCTGAAAATAGGGGGCAAATGATGTATGCGTGTTATACGCCGATGTCCAGGGAGCGGAATCCTCTTAATTTCCCTCTTAAAATGAAGATGCGTGTTATACGCCTGTGCGTGTTATACGCCGATAAATACGGTATATGAAGATCACTGGAATGGAGGCAAGAGATGTCATGATCTTTAAAAGGGGGGAAATGGAAAGTCTTTAGCAAATCTTCAACCAGGACAAAATTAAGTTCTAGGAAGATGGATTTCTATTAAGCAGTATGAAAAATTTAACAGGAAAGATTGTTAAAAAGTGAGCTAGCTTTACCTTTATTCCTGAGTTTATAAGAAGAAAACAGACATGCATTGTAGATGTTCAAAATCTGAATTTCACAGGAAATGTATACCTACTTAAGTTTTAGAAGGCCCTCTCTTTTATTCTATTTTTAAACGATTCATATTTCTATAAGCTACACATTCAAAATTAGAAATGAGGACTCACACTTTTGCATGCCTTTTAGTATATACAAAGTGTATATGTTACAAGTTAAAAACCACACACAACTGCACTACAAACTGAAATCCAGGATCCAATTCTGAGTCAAGTTCTGAGTCAAGATATTGCTGGTATTCTAAAAAAAAGCAAAATGCTCTGAGTAAAGTTTAAAAGCCTGTTACTGAGCATTTTGTATCCAATAGCCAATGCACAGAGATAGCTATCAGGAATTTGATTCTATTATCAAAAGATCAGTCCTACTGATAGTTTAGTGTACACCATTTTGTAAAACCTCTGTTGTGTAATAATATTACAATCCAGTCTTAAATACTCTGATTGGCAAGAAGTTCCAACCAATAACAATATTAATTCTTTGCATGTATGTTTATTTACAAATAAGCTATAACATTGTTACCAAAATTAACCATTTATTTTGAAAATGGTACATTTTATTACTTTTTACCTGCAAATTATATTGTCAACCGAAAATTACTGAATCTCTCATAATTTTTATTGAAAATTTTACTCTAGATCGAATGGGAATATTTTCATTTTTTAAATTGTAATTTCTGTATCACTAAATCCACACAATTCTGTACTATTGTTCTATCAATTGAAATGCTTATCTTTATAAATCTTATATTTATAAAGCAACCAGGGCACCAGAAGATAAACATAGCTAAGAATAAAACAAATTCTGCCATCCCCCTTCTTTTAGCTCCTATATCAAAAGATAAAGAATTCTTTAGAATGGAAAATAAAAATCTTTTGTTAGCATAGAGACAATACATGGGATCTGCTTCTTTCCATGGAAGTCAGGTCTGTTTGAATAGGAACTGAATTCTGAAACTTTACGATTTACACGTGTTAGGATCTGCATAAGTTCAAGTTTCTTAGCATATTGTTTTAACATCACACACAATGATTGTATAAACCAGGAACCATCTAAGGAATTCCTCCATGAGTAGTAGCCTAAGAGAAAGTAAAAGGAAATCATATTGTTTAAGCAATAATTATAAAAGCTAGCCATATAATTTGTTCTCCATAAAATTACACAATTATCAAACCAGCAGCATAGACTCCAGTGAGAGCATCTAAAACAGTATTCTGGTATTTAAAATATTTGATCACATTCTACCCAAAATTATTTAGGTATTTGACATATTTGATTTTCCCTTTCCTTCCACCAATTGTTCCAAGTATATTTTCTTAGGGAACATGGAAGAATGAAAGAAATAACCTCCATTTATTTCCAAAGACTTCAATAGGGATAATCATTCTATTGATCAGAAAAATCAGTGATCATGAAATCATTCATAAAATGATGTCTTTCCCTGACCCAAAGCTTGAAACCTATGACCATAATGGGCAGTCTTCCATTAGTCATAAGTCAAAGACAACCTATAGTCAAAACAAATTTGAGTTCCACTAATTGTATTATATCTGTTCCAAATAAGGTTGTAAGTCTAATGAAATTTACCCAAAAGAAGCATTTTCCATTCATTTATCTTACCCGGTGCAGTAGAATAAGCGTATAGGAAATCTGCTTCTACAGGTATTTTCTGACACATTCTTTCATCTGAGCCGCTGTCTGTTTCAATTCCAGAATCAAGATCTGTTCCTCTACAAGCCTGCCAAATATAAAACATATTACTAATGTTCCTCAGTAACACTGATGAGATATAAATGAGTGCATACAAAGCAGAGGTGAGCAGTATTCTGATTTAAAGCAGAAAAAATACCTTGGATCCAGCATGGATGCATTTGCTGTATCTCACAGTAGCATCTTAAAAATCCATGCCTTCTGCTGGTCTCACCAGACAGCTTCCTGGGTCCAGACAATTCCCATGCAAGGCCAGGAAAAGGCATGGCTTAATACCATATGAGCTGAGACTGTGCCCCTGTGGACAAGGGACTATTGATACTATAGTTCATGTCCTGCTATACCGCATCTTCTATAAGGATTCACGGACTCAATTAGGGAATACCTCATCTAATAAAATCTTGGGAAATACTGATCTTTTTTACACGCAACTAACTACTGTTATATCAATATGAAGTAGTTTCTATGAATATGGCTACATTCTGCTAAGCTATATGTAAAATCAGGCAAACTTTAACTGTCGGCTGTTCATCCACCAGCAATCGCAAAATATGATGTCTGTCTTTTACTTTTATTTTTTACTATTACCGTATTATGTTTTAATGTTTTTATTTGTTGGTAATAAAGATTGTAATAAAGATTGATTGACTGACATGGCTTAAGATGTCACTGACAAATACAATGAGCCATGTTGACAACATCTTTGAATACGATAGTTCTAAAACCGAGAGAATTAGTTCACTTTCATATACAAGAGGCACATAAAGCTATAATACGTAAAACTTAAGGTCTATATTAAATTTGGAAGTTTTATCATTATTCTCTGAATCATATTAAAAATTCACACCATCTTTAGAGTGCTCTGTTGCAATGGAGGTCATAGATGAAATCATGCTCAGAAATGGTTCTGTATGTGCATGACTTCGATTTGGGTCAAAGGAAGTTTTGATGGTTTTAATTTCTAAAGGATAATATATGGAAACTTCTACCTATTTTAAGGATTATGAATTAGATTGCTTTACTCTGAAAATAAACCCATTAAAAGAAAATAATGCATCCTTTATAAAGGGGACATAACTCTTTGGGGAGGGACTTAGTTCTTGTGTAAGCACACAAGAATAAGAGGTCCTTGGTGGTCTCTGAGCTTGGTTGTTCTCTTGCAGACTAGCACTGATGATGTTACTTAGTTTGGGTAATGAAATGTTGGCAAGAAAACAACTACGCTTAGAAGCATCAAGGACTCCTGATTTCAATCCACAAACATTTTCCTTTATTGATATACAGAGAATAATTTGTATTACTACACAAGGACAATTACTACATGGAAGAGGGTTCAGGTAATTTTCTACAGATGCCAGAAGGATTCTACTTCATTACTATTCCCAATTCAATGTGTATATTGGGACGATAGGAAACATTTGGTCGTTTGAGGAAGTCTTCTTTTATTGAAGGATTTCCATTTCTCTACTTTGTGTTTCTTATTACCTGGATAAAGAACAGCTTTGGCTTCCCTCGCAGGGTTTTACACCTGTCTCCTCTGAAGAGGCTGGTTAACATTTTCAGCTCTAGAGGGCCATCTGTGCCATAAATCAGTCCATCTTCTCCATGGCTTAGCAAGACACAAACAAAACTATTTCTCTTTCTATGATCATCCTTGGCAACTTTAAGAGAAGATAAACAATAATGTTCATATTGTGATCAGAAATTCCTGAAAAACAATTTTCTCAGATTAACCAAGAAAATTATATTTGTTCAAAAAATAAGACTTTTGAATTGGTCTGTAGAAGCAGAGAAACATTTTTAGTGTAATAGTTTACTTTTTGCATTTCCAAAAACAGTCTATAATTTTGCTACTTCATCAGGATAGTCACAGTCAAGTACTTTCCTATTTCAAGTATTCACATAACTTTCACAAGACACAGTCCTGGCAGTCTTCAAAGTATGCATGACCATTTGTTTAGTGACTCTTTCAATGATGCTGAAAAAGGTTATTTACAACTGGTCCACGGTCACAGTGTGCATGGACACAGCAACTGCCATAAATACCCGCCAGTTGCCAAGTATCAAAATTTGGGTACTTGACAACTAGCATGTATTTATAACGATTGCTGTGTCCTGTGGTCACATGACTGTCATCAGCAACTTTTCCAGAAATGACAAGCAAAATCATTGTGGGAAGCCAGATTTGCTTAACAACCATGATGATTTGCTTAATGGCAAAAAAAGTAAAAAAATCAGACACGGCTCATTTAACAACTGCCTTGCTTAGTGATGAAAGTTCCTGTTTCCAACTGTAGTCATAGATCAAGTAGTACCTACACATAATTTGACTCAAGTTTATTGCAATAAAATGTTCTGCCTTAAACATTATTTTACTAAAACCAGAAAGTAACAAAATGATGGAAATTGAGTGAAACAAAACACCTTTGGACACAACAACTTTTATTCTGAAATGTAGATCTGATTGAATTTGATAATACTAAGACTCTTCAAACTCTATACTTTCTTACTGATCTGCCCTTTTGACTCTAGGCATAAGTTTTACATTTCATTAAGAGGAACAGATAATTCCTAACTTAAAGTATTAGCTTGTTCTGTAATACAAGATTCTGTAATACATCTTCAATACAACTGATGATGCATCATAAAATGACTACTCACTGTTTTGCAACACCTCAATAATTTGTTTACATGAAAGATCATTATAAGTTTTCACATTATATCCCAATGTTCTGAAAGTGTCTAAAACAAGGGCTGCATCTGCATCTGTACCAGATCGAAGTGCCATGCCTTCATGTTAAAAAAAAAAGAGGGAAAAAAGTCATCAGACATCTTGCATTTTGAAAACACTATAATGCAGCAAGACTGTGAATATTACAGGCAGCATCTGCCCAGCTAGAGAATATATAAAATGTGAAATAACAGCTATACTGGGACACATTCTCAGACAGATCTCATATCATGCGGCCATGAAGGCATTTATAGTTGGATATCCTGACAAGGCAAAATTTCCAGTTGTATTAAACTCTTTAAGCCACCGAGAGTTGTGGATTTTAAGTGAGTAGCCAAGCAAACAAACCTTTTCAGAAGAATCTTTTTAGAATTTCATGGTGAGCATACAATGTTCTACCAGGCAGCTGGGAATCCTTTGGGACACTGGAAGGAGAGGAGGGTTCACTTAACATGCCTTTATTCCTACAAACTAGAAATGCTGTATTTGTGTGTGATGCCCTTCCATAGCTTTAGTTATATGAAGGCAATTTAGTATTAAAGCCAGAATGCAATGGGCATTTTTAGAAATGGCTGGAGTTTCTGAACTCATGGAAGTGGGGCAGATGTGGGGCAGCTGCCAACACCCTATTGACTTTGAACGTTCATGCATTCCAAAGAATGGCTGCAGAACAGATTATGAGAAACTTCATTTAAATTCCAAGCAAGTTGGCAAGGGAATTAGACTTCACTCCACTGCAGTGTTAATTCTGTCCCTTTGTACTCAGGGGATTATTTCTCTTAAAAGACAATGAGAGAAGTCAGGTTCTTCCTTAATAATTTATATGGAAGTGTAGCTATCCATGGCTGCACATGATTGTAAATTTACCTCCAATCCTTGTTGCTAAGAGAAATGAAGCTGGCTTGATCTTCTCTTCTGCTTTCCTATATATGTTACCTTTTTGCCTTTTCTTTATCATTTGATGTTTCTGTATCGATTATCTAAATGTTCCCTAAAGATGATGAACTGGGATATTGGAAATTTGCCCAAGACATCCCACTGATCATGAATATTCTTTTTTGGATCACTGGGAGGGAATATTGGGTATTTTTAAAGCTGTGATCATACAATATAAGTTGATGGTCTTAGGAAATATAACTCCAAAGGCTGACACTGTAGAAAGAACATAGGTTCTAGGAAGTGTATTCAACGAAAAGCATTTGACTGTTCCAAGTAAATTACCTGCTTATATTTTAATTTTAATAAATAAAAATATATTTACCAGTGTCTGGAAGGAAATGTTTATTGTTGACCAGAATGCATATTCCCATTTCTGGACAGTCCATTCTATAACTTTCATCTGCTTGTATTACAGAATCAACAGACTTGCTAAAAGGAATGCTTTTTCTATGAATAAATAAAACAATGTAAAGTTAATCTCATTCAAGTTATAAACGGAAGATCACAATATTTGATTCTATGCATTTTATATGCACTGAGACATTTACCAATGTTAAGATAAAGGGTTGCTGGCACAAAAAAATACCAGTTAGACAAACGACAAGGAATCAGATCTTGAAGAATGAGTGAAATTATACATTTCAAAGCTATTTAATGGAAAAATATTAGGTTAGATTATTTTTGATTCATAATAGTCACAATAATGTACAAGGAGACAATATGAAAAGAAATGATATATAGAAATTGTAATGTAAACAATGTAAACAATATGGCTGTGTCCATCCCAAAAATTTAGATGTTTTTTGGACCCAGTACAAAAACACACCTCTGTGTTATTCATTAAGCAGCATTCTTTTTCTAGCTTTCATGAAAGTTGAAAAACTGTTTGTTTTAAAAACTGACTTATTAAAGGAACAGAATCTTTTTAAATGCTCATGTGAAAATCCAAATGAAACACAGTGTGCTTTAATGAATAACAAAGAGATGTTGCATTTACACAAAGTCCCAAAAACTTATTGTGATGAGTGTGTACCCAAATTCAAGAAAATACAGCGAACTTTTAGTTATTAAACCTTAAGATACTGAACTAAGTTAAGATTACTATGTAATTATCTGGTACTAATCATTTAATACATTTCTCTTATTTATTTACAAGCTGGCACTTCCCAAAGTACCCAAATTTGATACAGAATGTAAAGTAAGGGTGTTGCTACAACCCATATAATTTTAATTCTCTTTGCTTTTGCTATAGAATAATAATGAATGGTAGGAAGTGCCAAATTAAACATTCACTGTTGACTTGACACACTCTTAGTTGATGCCAGGCTCATTGTAGGAACTGGATGCAGTACAGATAACTATTACATTTGCCTTAAATAGGTGAGAGTTCTCATAAACCAATTCTTTAACTAGAAAACACACACACACACACACACACACACACAAAAACCTCAAGAGACCTCCCTCCCCTCAAGAAGCCCTGCTTACCCTTCAGAACCAGATAAAGTCTTTGCATCTATTACACTTTGTGGTGATTTCAGGACATGGTTTTTGTCTGCCATAGTTATTTCTGTTTGTAAATAAAAGAAATATATCATTTTAATTGTAAAATTAAACAGTAAGCATCTTTTGCATCATTGCACCTTAAAATATAAGCTAGATACCCTACTCTGTTTGCCTTTTGTAAGGAACTGAAGACCTGTTTCTCCCTTCATGCATTTGGGACAGCATGCTATTCTGAATGGTTAATAGTTTCTCCTCTGGCATCCAGGTGGAGGAACGTTGGGAGGGTTCTTTGTTTTTAACCTGGCATGTCATGGGGCACATGGACACTGTCAAGGATGGAAAGTTATGAGGATGTGAACTGGTGTATCTTTTTTTCTGTGACTCTCTTAATATTTACTCCAGACATCTTGGTGGGCATTTTACCCTTATTTGAGCCTATTGTCTCTGAATCCTAAAAAAGCCCATTGGCTACACACTAGTTATCCATGGAAATAATAAAATGAATGGTTCCCTTCAATAATGCTCAAACAAAGAAAATACAATCTAGTTACCAATAAGGCTTAGATCATTATTCAGAAGAAATGTTTGTCTAGCTAAAGAAATTGAGGGTTCCATTTTTGTAAAGCCCAGAACACACAGAAAATGTACACATATAATTAAGCGAAATCCAGTCAATATTCAGAATTTCAGTCAATATACAAAAATGAAGATACCTATGAGAAAATTAGAAGAATAAAAGAACACTACCTGCATAAGTTAAATGAATATGTCATTGCTTTAAAAATAATTACATTTCACCTGAAAATACAATCATTTTTAAAATAAAGCAAATTGACCGCACACTTTCCTAGGACAAAGAACCACAAAAAGACCTTCCCATAAGCAGACATCTGTTCTGATTTTGCAGAGTCTGACACATGCTCTGTCAGCAATTATTTACTTCTGTTCCACTACAGTGATACTAACATACAAAAGCATCATCCCTCTTGAGAGGACAATGCTGTTACCAACTAATCTCACTCATGTATAAAAGCATTACCTCATCCTGCTTAGCTAATGCACTGATGTCATCATCTGTCAAGCAGAATATACATTTCTCTGGGGAAGATGATCTCACTTCTCAAGGGGAAAAAAAATAGGTCTAGGACCGCTTAAGTTAACGCTTGTCTGCTTTTTGGTACTAACATTTTCTCCCCTGAGTTTCTTTGACAGAAACACAATTAAGAAAGTTAAGATGGTTCTATGAAAAGTTAGCAATAATACAGATAACATATATAATAATGTATGTCAATATAATTTTAATGTGATTTAAACTATTATAAAGTAATAGGTAGTGCTGGCTATCTTGGAGAGGCATTGAAGAAAAAATAAAACACAGCTTCTAGGTAATATTTAAAACCATGATTTTCCATGTAATTCTTCAAATAACTGACCTACTGCTTACCTACTGTGTCAGCTTTGGAAGCCATATTTTATTTAGAAGCTTCCACACCGCCACATTTTTGAGTCTGGGAATTTGGGGGCGGGGAGGGATTTCCTAGAGCGGGGAAAGCTTAGACATAACATTCTTCTACCAAGTCAAGGACAAATCAGCGTGCACCTGGAAAGGAAGAGTTGGAGGACTGTCTCCAGTTTGGACAGGTGGTGATTGGACCAATGGGTACAGAGGATGGATTGCTGCTTTTCAATTATGAGGGGAAAACCTGGAACTCTCGGATTCGGGTTTTCCCAGATGTGCCAATATGACAACTCTAATAAAGTGTAACTTTGAAAAAATGCTTGTCTTGGAGTTTGTTGATTTGGAGTTTGTTGGAATGCTGACATACCGTAGGTTAGCACTCCTCTAGAAACAGTAATGTTTTAAAAATACTTTTTCAATAAGACGCTTCTCATTCAGCATTATCAGTTTATAATTTTAAATATATTAAATGTGATACGCCAAGAAGAATAGAATCCAGATTCCCAGCTATATGAGTAGATCACAAATACTATTAATTGTAAAAGAAACAAGGAAGTATCTAGACTCTTTCTTCCAATTGTGGTCTATATGAGACTTGGAGGCACTGAGAGGCATTTTACTTGAGATATTTACTTGCTTTATCCTAGCATCCCATTCATTAAGTTGAAAGAGTCTAGAAAGCAAAATTAAGAAAGTGTAGGAACTCCAAAGTATGCAATCATAGAACATTCTCAACTTTGTTTGGTGCAATATATTGGGGAATCATTTTTATTTTGGATTACAAAATTATTGAAAGCAGAGTTGAAACAACTCTTGTTTAGCAGGCATTGCATTCTTTCCCAATCCTTATGATTTGAGGCTTTTAATTATTGACAAAACCTGGATGCAGCCTTAATTTTCCTAATATCTTAGGTGAAGGCTGGGCATGGTCCTTTTCCAATCTGTATGGTTTGAGGCTTTAATTATTGACAGAACCTGCATGCAACCTTGATTAATCTGCCTAATCTCTTAGGTGACTTACATTTCAAAAAAACAATGGGAAGCACAGATGTGTTGCAGATACATCTGCTTCCAGTGTAGTGTTAGTAGTAAAAGCACTACAAAAGGAGAGGCCCAGGTTCAAGCCTTGAAAATTCACTAGATAATAGACCAATTATTGCCCAGAGTTGTTACTGTGGGGATAACATGAAACCATATAATCTGGCATGAATTTTAGAAAGGAAGGCAGGATATAAATCAAATAAGCAAAGAAATGGTTTGTGATGACCTTCTTACAAAAATCAGATAATTTAAAGTTAACCTCAGAATACAATCATTTGCAGTTACAACATTCATGAAAAAATAACTTTATTATTCTTACAGGTCTGTTAAACGATGGAAAGCTAAAGTAAGATCATACGCCCAGTTGCAATTTAATTTAGCAAACACTTTGCTTAATGATTGAGTTGCTGGGTATATTAAGTCACTTTTACTATATAAAATCAGTCTGTGTAACTTTCGTTAGTAGCAAGTAAGGTTACAGGGGCCAGGTACTACAAGCATATAAAAGGCACATTTAGTAAACTGCCCTTAAGATTGTTGCAAAGGTCAGGAAAAAAAATCTACTGGCATTCTAACAGTTTCAAATGTCACCAATTTTACCCCCATGTGTTGTATTAGTTCTGTTTGCACTAGGTGTGTAAAGGGGTCTATATGAAAATTTCTCTTGGTTATGTCATCATCAAAGATAATAGCAATTACAGTATATCAATTCAGTTTCATATCTCTGCAAAATTAGAAAAGACAATACAATCCATAACTTAACTCCTGAAGGAAAAGGAGACGATAAATCTAGCAAATAGAAAAGTTAATTTTATGCTGTGCTCAGTTGAAAACTCAAAAGAATTTTGAGGGAAGCCAAATATTTAGAGGGCAGCATTCTCAAGGAGGCTTTTCTATAGATTTTGCATATAGTATTCACATTTTCTTGGTAGCAAGTGCCTGTTTTCATTGGGCTGTATTTCTGAATAAAGATTGTGCTATCAGACTTGATTCCAAATTAACTTGGTTCTAAAGATCTGACAATTCTTTTGGAAAAATTATTTCTAGGACAATGTAAAATATTTGGTACAACATTTCTCAGGCAGCACTTTAGTCAGTGCATGTTCTTCACACTGTGGGATGTAGTTTTGCTGGGCAATCTCAGTGTGAACCACCTTTTGAAGACTGTTCATGAACTCTCAGGTAAACTGCCATAAATTCACTGTAATCTTGATTATATACAAGGCGGTCAAACCCAAAGTCAGGAACTAAAACTAATATTGAATCCAAAATAGTTAAGTTTTGCTTTCCACACCACACTCTTGGGATGCCAAAACCGAGATAGGAAATCAGTGTTAAAGGGTAGTTTAATTTAGGGTAGCCAATCTACCAAATGGCTTAATACTTTTGAGACTTAAACTCCTCCTGTTTTAGGGATACAGTATTGAGTATTAAGAGGCTTCCTTTTCTTCACTTAGTTAACTGTAGTAGTTTGGTGTTTATTCAATACTCAATGCTGGTCTGTGACCATCATAAAAATCTATTTTTAACGTTAATTTCTTTCTTTTTGTCATTAAAACAACGTGAATGTTAAGCGGAGCAAAGGCCAAAGAGAGAAAGGAGGGCAGCCCAATCCACTGCCAAACCAAATTTTTTAAAAAATCTTTTTTTAACTGTTGCACAGGCGGTCTGGGGATGGATATCAGAGAGAGCGAGTATCACTTTTGTTTCCAGGCAGGACGCCGCTACCTACCTACCTGCTTACCAGCAGCTATTCGGCCACTTCTTAATTTCTGAGGGTTGTGTAGGTGAGAAAAAGCTTGTGGGATAGAAGTAAGCAAGAACAATTGACCGCGATGGCGCCTATTAGCAGCTTCCAGAGAAAGGAAAGAACAAGCGATCCACCAGAGCAGCAGCAGGGACGCGTCCCGCCTCCCTTCGCGGGTTCGCTCGGCTGGAAGCAACCTTTTTATAAAGGTATTTAACCTTTATTTCCAACGGAGACTCAAGGACCACCGCACCGGGCTCGGAAACAACTGCTCAGGGGACTCTCTCCCCGCCCAGTGGGCGCAGCACCAGCACCAGCCTGGGAGTGAAAAAAAAAAAGACTTTGGTGGGAAACCCCCCCTCCCCCTCCCCGGGGACAGGGTCACTGACCTCTGCTGACTCCTCCTTCGCTCCTACGGTTTTACCCTCTTTCCGAGCGCTTCCAGGGCTGCCTCCGACCGTTTTCTACACGCTCGGCTTCCCCAGCCCAGCCTGCTTTTAACCCCACCCTGGAGGAGGAGGAGGCAGAAGAAGGGAGGGAGGGAGAAAAGGAGGAAGTGGCTGTCGCTGCCTTGGGTGGTGTCGACGACAACCCCAGCAACAGGGGCCTTCGTCCAATCGCAAGCGCGGGCGCGGTTTTTTTTTCTTCCTGCCGCCTTCCGAAGCTCGGCTTGGTAACCGCCGCGGCCCTCCCTCGAGAAGGGGGGCTCCGTGCAGCCCTTTCCCCGCGCCGCCGGGGTAGGTGGGCTGAGCGTCCTCCGTTTCACCCCAGTTGCTGGGACGAGTTTAAGATGATGTCGTGCAACCGTGCAACCTCCGAGGCTTTCCGCAAGTTGCACGGGCCTTTTGAGTTTTTCTTTGGAGCTGGCAAGGAAGGTGCTGTTTTGAAGTGAAGGTTGAAAAGGTATCCCACCCTCTTTATACAATCCATATAAATAGGCAGATACAGAGAGAGGCGGGAGGATCCAGGACACCCTTTTATGAAGAAGCCCTGCTTTAATTCACCACGCTTATGGGAGAGGCGCATCCAGTTTGGTGTACACATCCAAAGCAAACTGCCATAACTGACCTGATGAGAAATTGGGAGCTATGGGTTCATTTGCACAACCAAAACGCCTTGCACGAATATCGCCCAAAAATAGTTTGCAGCAGGCAGGAATGCAAGTTTCTGTTCAACTCTGAGGCGAACTGAGCTGGCAGCTTCTATTCCTTTCCTCAATATATGTCAAAGGTGCTTTCCAGTTTGTGCAGACGGGACTGTTGTGGTTTAGGTCATCTTCTGCACTTGATTTCATTTTGGGCAGATGCCTTCATTGCCCTTGGCTACTGTGCAGTGGCTCCCTTCCACTCACTGGTTGCTGTTCTCCATAATTATTTCTCCTGGTTAACTGTCTCCTTCTGAAGGGCCTTCAGTTGCTGAATCTGTGGACCAAATAAAACAATGGGCTTTTTTTGCATAATTTTTTTATTTTATTTTTGTTACAAACATATCTTCTTCCATTTAATGATGTCATCTGGTTACAAATATTTTGTGCAATACAGTTAATGTTTACATCATATTCATTATATAGCATTATTCTCTAGCCTTATTATACTTAATTGTACTTAATATTCTTTATCTCTTAGCTTATTTATTTCTATCAATGAAAAAAAATCTATTATCCTTAATTAATCCATTAATTATATCTAGTTTTCATATTTTTCTCTAACCATTGATAGAATAGTTCCCATACCTAGCTCACTGGTGAAAGGCTGGATTTTCTTTTTATTTTACATATCCATTGGTGAAGTAGTGTACCTGTCCTTTTTTCGTAAATTAGCTGACATTGATACTACTTCTCTCCAACTCAGTTTCTACCCCAGGATCATGTTTCTGTGGTCATGTCAGCATGCATTCAGCTTTAATGTATTTTTCATTTTTGATTCAGCATGCACACACATACTCATTACAGAATAAGTCAGTGGTTCTCAACCTTTTCTTCACCACAGACCCCCTTTAAAAACCCTTTGAGGCCACAAACTATGGCACCACAATTTAACTCAAGATTTCTATCATTACATTTCTTCAAGCCTTCTCAGATCCCCTGTGATGACATCGCAGTCCACCCAGTGGTCTGCGGACCACAGATTGACAAGCACTGGAACACATACTGGCAATCCAAGACTAAAACTTTAATAAAATTCTTTTTCCATCATTGATGTATAAATATATACTATCATAGCCAATGGTTCTTTGTGACATGTAAACAAGCAAATGCAAAAATTAGCTACATAATGAAAATTGATTGAATTTGGAAGATTTGTTATCAGTATTATTGGTACTAGAATAACAACTTTTAATGGGTTGTAGCATGTTTCACTGGTTGATTACATGTGCATTTTACTAAACTTCAATCTAATGAGATTTTGAGAAACATAAAAGTAAGTTACAAAAATCCCAGTTTGGTGCATTAGGCTAAAAACTGGGAGACTATGAGTTCTAGATCTTGGACCAGTGACTTTCTCAGGCCCTAGAAAGGAAGCAATGGCAAACCACTTCAGAAAACCTTGCCAAGAAAACTGTAGGAACTTGTCCAGTCAGTCTCCAAGAATCAGATATAATTGAATAGAAGGAAAAAAAGATAAGTTAACTTATAGTGTGGTAAACAAAAGCTAGCAAAAATTTGGACATATATAGTATTTTCCTTTCTCTATTAGACTAATATACTATTGTATGAATTACTGTACACGTATCCTTTTCTGTTAACATAATCTAACCTTGATTCATCATTGAAAAAATGCATTAAGAATAACAAGTTTCTATTGGTAAAAGTTCAATAACAGGCTGGCTGTAACAGCATATTAATTGACTATTTTATGTATTTTCATACAGATATTTTTACTTTTGAAAACTAAAGATTGAATGCTGTTGATTACTATGCAAGGTAACTGTCATGAGTATCGGTAAGTTCATTATTTGAAAGTCTCATAATGTTTATAATGAATTTGCTCATAATAAATATTTGCTAAGTAGTAAAAAGGCTTAAAATTAAGTTGTATATTTCACTCTCCTGTTTCATATACTATGAAAATCTGCTTGACAGAGTAGCAAGTTAACTATCTCTTTCCCACTCCAATTTTATTTCCACATTTTACTGCATCCTAATTCCTTCCATAAGTGAAATAACATTTTTAATATGTTTTCACATATACATTAAGAATGTACTTTGAGAATCTTGATGCTAAGCAAATGGAATGATTATACACCAGCGTAGGGAGGTTTTTCTTCCCAGCTGTAGGCTATTGGCTTTTCCTTATTTGTAATCAGATTTCAAGTCTTGGGTACAAAATTATTGCAAAAAGTAGTCAAAGGTATGTGCTATTAGTTACATATGGTGAATTTTTATTTATTGGATTTGTACCTGCCACTATCAAAAGAGTCTGCACTTCGCACTTCCGTTTTGAGAATAATATCCTGAAACATACATACTGTAATAAAAAAGTAAAGACAGTGGCAACAAAGCATTCATAACACATCAATCATAGCATCTCAACTTTCAGAGGCACTCAGAATAATTTAGCTTTTATTAGTTTACATGGGGATCAGTGTAATTTCCCTGAGTAAACCATTTGTAATGCAGATGTACTCACTGTATAATAATGCTTGTATGCCTCATCGCCCTTAGTGCAACAAATAAGTACCAATGCATTTCCTGGCACATTTCCTTTGACCTATATTTCAGGTGAAATCATGCTTGGCCCTGATAATGTTGTTCAAAGCTATACATCTCTTTATAATTGCACCAAGAACTGAACAAAGAGCCATTGTCGGATCAGAAGTGTTATGCTGTTGCCAACATATGCCAGCCAACATTTGGACCATTGCATTCTGGACTAGTTGTAACTTTTAAGTGGTCTTCAAATATAGCTACTTTTTGAATACATTGTAGTGATCAGCAGGAAACACCATTACATGGTCTTCCCAATCTAAGCAGGCCTGCAGCGGGCACAACAATCAGAACTGCTACCACCTTCTGTACCTATTTATCCTGCAATACCTGTTCTTTTAGGAATATTGCACCTCATTGAGAGACCACACTGGGGCTGACAGAACTCCTTGATGTACAAAGAGTAACTCTGTTCTGAATAGGGTTAGGGTTGTTTTTGTCCCCTTTGGCCTCTAATATTTACTCTCAGAAGAAGATATTTACTGTCAGAAGAAGCCATTCACAGATCTCTTGGATGTCCCAGGATTACATTGTATACTTACTAATAATATCATTCTTGATACAGGTGAATGATCTATCAGTTTCATATAAGTATCAAAAACCAGGTTAAAGAAGATGAAACACTGCAAAATTCCATATGGAAGTAACTACCAGGCCAATCTCTCCTTCCACTGCCCAAATGGAATTATACACCAAAGAAACAGTAGAACCGCTACAGGAGAGTACTTTTAATCACCAATCTTTTCAAAGGGTCCAGAAAGATGCCATATTAAATGTTGTAGAAGACCATCAAAAGATCTAAAAGAGCCAGAAGGGATATGCCACCCTCATCCAGCTTCTAAAAAAGTTCATCTACAGGAATGGTCAATTATTGACTGACAGAAAATGATATTAATAATCCACTTTCTCTATCATACTCTTGAAATGTGCTGTAATTATATCCTCAGTAACTTTCCCAAGGGAAAGTTGGAGGCAGGATGCTAGCTGCCAGGACCAGAAGGCTTTCAGAATCACTTTCTCCTGAAGACAGGTTGGATCCAGATCATTACACACTTCTGATTCTTGAATTCAGGAGAGGATCCAAACTATAAGTGGTCAGAAATAGCCAGAGAGCACTTTAACAGGGCACCTTAATAGCTTCAGTGACTAATCAGTCACTCAAAATCTACTGGAATCTATTTTGATCCATAAGATGCCTGTGACAGACATTGTTTATTAGTTTATTCGGGTCCACTGGAAACTATTTTGATCCATAAGATGCCTGCGACAGACATTGTTTTTTGGTTTATTCATCCAATATAGAGTAATTAATCTTCTTTGGACTAGGAAGAGATCTGACAAAGGGTGATAGAAATAACTTCCATAACCAGATTACTAAAAATCTAAAGCAAGTCCAACATGTGGGTTCCTAAATCTGGAGAAGTGGATGCCAGCCTAACATGTCTGGTCTAGGATTATATGGGAGAAGCCCATGATTACCCTGGAGGCCATGAGCAATATCTGACTCAGCTTCACATTCACTCCATTGAATTCTACTGTATAGTGCAATATTAATGCAATATCAGGAGTTTTCAATTCAATTGTATAGAATATGAAGGATGTGTGTTTGTGTTTTATTTTTATAGTTATAATGTACATTTTGATGGCATTTAATTTTGTTGTATGAGGTGCAATGACAGTAAAGTAAACTAAATAACTAAATAGTAAATGTTGACGTTAGCCAATACCAACATCAAAAGTGCTTTGTCTTACATAGGGATCCTGCCATACTGCAGGAAGATCCCCAACTTGCTGCAACAACCAACATAA